GACCTAACGTTATAGGTATATTTATATACGTAAATACGGATTTGGTATATGCAAAAGCAAAATCTTCCCAATAATTTATTTTTTTCTTCGTAAAAAGACAATTTATATAGTTAGTAAATTATAAAAATGAACGTCAGAGACGAACAGAAAAAGGCTTGCGTAAACAACGGTTAAACAAAGGCAGAAGATTCCATTACGCGAAATTGATGTCGTTATTCGACCGTATTGATTAATTACTATATAAATTGTAGATTTCAATTAATAAGATAAAGTGCGACTTAATTGGTGTATTATGCTATCATTCATTAATCATCTCAATCTAATATGAATCCTAAACTATCGAATACGCGTTTACAAAGCTCTTCGAATCAAGCACATAGAGTTCCGAAAATGTAATGACCAGAGTTCAAGTCAGTTCTTTCATTGGACTGAGTTCGAAAGAAATTTTACAACTAAAAATTTGATGTGTATATGTATAACATAATAGGTGTTATCAGTGCCGTAACTAGGTCATACGAGGCCCATGTACGAATCAATACCTTGAGGCCACTAATCATCAAACTTTTTTGTGCATTTAAACTATTGAGGCTCCATAATATAAAGTTCGAGGGCATGTGTGCAATGCAACCTCTGCGAATTCGGTTTTTACGACACTGGGTGTTATATAAACGTACATCATCACAGTACGTGTTCTGCAACTTTAGAAACTGTTTAAAACAGACTACGCATTTGTCACATTCGAATCATTCAGGGTTTTCTGATGGAAACAGAGGTCTACGACAAACATATCATCACCAACTGTTTGAAATGTACTCAAGATCGGATGGGTCACAGGATTTCCTATCAATCTTGATACCATACTTGAACCGAATCACGAACAAAACCTAAACTTAGTAAATTATTTTAAACGAACAAACTTGTATAATTAAAAAAAAAAAAAAAAGTTATGTAAATATATTGTACTAATACTCATGTAATTGTAAACATAATCATGAATTAAAATGTACAAAATAACTACTAATGACCCATGCTTCTGATGTTCTTTTATTTTGGATCAATATAAAAAAAAATTAAATAAAAAAACGCATGTTACATGTTCGTTTAATGAAATCGATGTTTTCAGAAAGACAACAACATTGTAAGGATTTTTTTTCGCGAAATTGACGTAACAGATTTTACCTTAACGTAACATAATATGATATTATATACTTCAATACTTCAATACTTAAAATATTTTCATACAATATGACGTGCAGCACTTTTGTTTGGTATCGTTGAGCGTACAGTGTAATATAGGCGCCGATAATACACGGCCCACGTAAACTTTTTACTGTGACTTTCCAAATAGTCTTCATTGTATTTAAAATTATGATTTTATATCTCATATCTTAATAAATACGTGTAAGGTATTTCATTTTATTCTAAATAAGTTCAAAACGCTGTGGAACTCAAAATATTATTTCTGATATCAACTATTGTATTAATAGAAGATGTTGTAATTGTAGTCTTAAGAACTTTAATTTTAATTTTTAATTCAACCCGTTTGCACTGATCTTCAGGCACATTGGATTAGGAGGTCGGGAAATATTTAAATAAAGCGTTTGGGCCATTTTATTCGTAATAAAAGAGAAATAAATATAAAACTATAAATATTGGAGTTTTCGTTTTTAAACCAGACTTGTCTTCTACATTCCCAGAAAACATTTTGATTTCGTTGTCATTGTGAACATTATTCTGGTCTAAACGTATGAAAAATATGAGATAGGCTTTTCATGTTTTACTACTGTAAGTGATGGTTGCATGTTTCAACAATAAAATAAATTAAGATTAAAGTAAATTAGTTTTATGGAAACACGAGTAGATGAAGTGCACGTTGAGTGGACAGTGCATTTATTTATATATATATATAATATTTACTTTTACCTTTTTGTATGATTCGTAACATACATTATATCTCCGTTGTTTTTATACTGAACATGAAAAAGATAATATTTTTCCACTTCAGTCATAATGTATGTACCAAAAAATGCATATTATAGTATTGTAGAGTCAAATAAAGTTTGTAGTGCTATGATCTGCATAAAATACTCTTCGTAGCGTAAGCTTTTAAAAACATATATTAAAATATTTCTAACAATGTCAATGAATCAAATTTGACATTTTCTCGATTGTTTTTGAACTGCAACTAAAGCGAATTTTAATCAAATAGGTTTATTAGTCCACGTCATTGTTCTCAGACTTCAGTACATAGTTGTTAGCAATTTTCTTGAAATCTATTGGGAAATTTCAAAAGCAACTTCTGGAAATTACTGTCCATCCAACTTTCAGTATATGCAAGAACTTAATGTCGAACTGAAGTTTATATATACCCGAAAAACTTTTAACAGAAAACTAAAAAACAAAAAAGTTGCACTCATATGATTATACCTTGATTCAAACTCAATAGATTTCATTTAAAGTATACGCTAACTTGATAATTATCAAAAAAAAATCTTATTACCTTAAGACAATTTCCTATTGATAACTGTAGTTATTATCTTATTACCAGTGCAATTTCGTAAAGCTTTTACCTTTGTATTTGTGTACATCCTAAGTCGATTTGGTTTTTGAGTTTCCATCTTCTTTTACTTTTGTAGATAGTTCAATTGTTAATGGAATCGAGATAAAATATAACCAGTATATCGGTTTGACGTTTTCGACGTTATTATCCTAAACATGGCCGCCAAAGTATATAGTACAATATACTTTTATATTATGTACACTACTATAGAACACAAGTAACCCGAAAAATATACCATTATAGATATAATTGTGTTAATGTTGTATTAAAATAGTTATAGATACCTATATATTTATTATAAGTAGAGCTCGGAAGTCGTAGGATTTTTTCTGTATACTCTCAATTTATAGCAGACCAAACTAGAAATCCGTTCCATGCAAAAACGGGTTTAAATACAAGAGTTAAAAATGCATTTTTTTCGTATATTTTGGCAATTTTAGAAAAGATTGCATATTTATTAATTTTCATGAGATTTTTATACCTGTGTAATATTTTCTAAACAATTTAAAGTTTTCTTTTATTTTATTTTCGATTATTTAACATACTAGTCACCATACCTTACCGTTGTAATTTAATAATTTAATTTAACGGAGTGTATTTATTTTTATAGCACTAAGGTGAACACTGTATAATATTATCGACGTTATTATTAATTTAATAGCAACATGGCAAGTGTATTATTTAATACTAATATTATATACAATTATACATTAACCATAATTTCATCGGATGTTGAAAGAAGTTTTTCACCCTACAAAAATATATTTTCAGACAGTTGTCATTCTTTTGATATGGAAAATATAAAGAAATTTCTGATTGTTCAATGCAAAACATTTACAGATATGACAGTTACAATAATGTTTATTGAATTAATAATAAATAAATATAATTTTTCTAATAACTTTCATTCGGTTTTTTTTTTTAGATTGAAAGTAATTTATAAGCATGTACCTAATATGATTAACTTAGAATTAAATAATGAATAATAATTGAAAAATATCTTATTTTGATCAATTTTATGCTCTAATAGATTTCAAAAGTTACAATATTTATGGAAACATAATTTAATGATACATTTTAAGTTTCATTAATTATTAATTAATTATTGATTATGAACACATGATTATGTTTATTCAAGTTGACATTTTGGTTAAAAATAAGTTTTTTTTTTAAATAAATAATTTATGACACTAGTATTAAATTCTGTACAGCTTTGAAGCATTTTTATTAAATGCTTTTATCTTATAAATACCTTAGCTTAATTAACTACATATATTTCTTATTAAACGTAACCTTACCAGTGATAGCGTTTATGCAGATTTCTGGTCAGGAACAAACCACTAACCTGCAGTTTTTAAAAAGTCTGTTAAAATGTATTATTGCCAAATCGTTAATCTATAAAATGCCGTACAATAAATCATGGAGTCAGTTAATCTCTTTCGTTTATCACGACCGCGGTCATAAGGTCTTATATCCAAATTACCAGGTTGAGTATTATTTTATGCTCTCTGGGCGATGACCGTCTGCTACGTGTAACCTCTAACTTCGAATTTACTCCGTAAGTTGACATAGCGAGAATTGACCAACCCACAAAATAATAATTCGTTATAATCAGTGCTCGACTTGAAACAATTAAAGAAGGGGGACTCTATTTACTTTAAAAAAAAAGAGCTTCCCCAAAACTTGTTAAGCATTATAATTATAACGTAATAATAATAGGAGATGCTAACATTTTTGAAAATTAGTTGGAGTATTACGTCCCTCTATATCCTCCCTCAAGTCGAGCATTGGAGATAATATGTTTCAAGTAAAATGATATGAATATATTTTAATAATTAATAATAATACGAGTATATAATATTATATTTTTTATTATGAATAATAACTATTCATACGATGAAGTGAAAAATTGTATAAATCACTTTCGAAAAATTGAATAACAAATATGTTAATTTCGTGTACTATGTTAATTCTTTAAACTCATATATTTGATAAATAGATATAACCAGTATCATTATACTACGTGTAGGTATACAACCCGTACCTATATTTAGTAATATAATTATAATATGATTCAGTTTAGTGTAATTTAATAAACAAATTATTAATGATTACAAATTCATGGGATTTTGATAAATTGGTTCACTTACACTCCTTTTAAACTACAGCTGTTGTATTTTATTTTTGATTGAGGTCATCAATATTCATGTGTGTAATACGTTATTTATTTACGTACACAAATAGCACTACAGTTAATTTAGTAATTACAGTTTGATTAAAAAATATATACATACAATTATTTTCTAAAATGAGTATTTGTAAAATAACTATTTTGATGGTTCGGTTAGATGAGATAATTTAAAATGAAAAATGCGAACATTATTAATTAGTGTAGAATATATTATTCATTCTTCAATATGTCTTCGTACTGATATTTTAAATACATAAAATGTATTTTAATAAATAAATAAATTAATAAATTAATAAATATAGTGAAAAAATCTTAAAATTTAATCAGCCGTTGAGTACTGTTGAACTCCATTTCTGAAAAAAAAAAAATTAATTTTTTTATTAAATTTGCTTATTGCGACACGATTCTATGCAACAGTATTTCACAGCAGTTTTTATTACACGTCCTTACAAGGTATAATTGATTTCCTGGTAAGTATACGCTATTAAGAAATCATCTCTTCCGAAGCAACCGCGGCAGTTTTATTTTATCCTCACGTTGAACAATGTTATAAAAATCGTAAAAAAAATCTAAAGACCAACGGGCGACAGAGGCTTTTGTTTCCGACACATGAGACGTGACGTACCCAGTACTTATATTAAACCAAACAAAAGACCACTGGCGTTCGTATTTTTTCTGCGAACGTTTTGCGTTTGTGTGAGAACAGCGACGGTTTGGTATGTGAAACCCTCGGCATGTGGTTTTCCTCAAAAGCGGTATAATTTAAATTTTTTTTATATTTAAATCTGGTCTCATCTTTTAACGATGTCCAGAAAAATCAAATTTTTTTTTTTTTTTTTTACAGAATACTACGTTGTGGTATACTCAGACGTAATGATACATTTAACTCTCCGATGAACCTTACAGTCGAACCTTCAGCATAGTAAAAACATGTTTCGTTTTGAATTTTTTTTTTTATGAATTTTCAAACTTTTCTTCTTTAGCTTTATGTCAAAAATCCCGTGATAAAATCAATAAATTATGTACTCGTGGTATAAGATATTATCAGTTGCGTTCATTATTCTAATGTTATATACTATGTGGAATTTCGATACGATTTTTATCATTAAAAAATAATATTCATACCTATAGAAAAATAAAATAAAATCAATAGTAAATAAAAAAGTCAATGAATAATGTTATTTCTTTGATTTCGTTCGTCTGAAAAATGAATAAATAAAGCTATAATGTAACATTGCCTATAGTAAAAAACTAAAACCTATTTGTATAAAATGAAAAAAGTCAGTGCTTGAGATGAAAGAGCAGGGAGAACAATAGGGCATAACAATTCAATAATAATGTGTAAAAAAGATAGGTGAATGGAGATAAGACACCTAATTTACTTCGTATTTTTTTTGTATTTGCTCCATTCCCGGAAAATTTATATTTTAATTGGATTGACTAAAATTAATCCAAGAATAAGTTTACAATTTTTAGTTGTCTATTGTATAACTGTCGTCAACTTAAAAACTTTATGCTTCATACTTTATAATATAATAATAATATACTTGAACACAGTGGCGTAATTTGATTATGTTCGTAAGGTGGGAGGGTTTTTTTTTATTTTTGCACATTTTACACTAAATGTTATCTAACACCTATCAACTCCCAAAAATGTTTTTGTATGTATCATCAGCACCTCTCAATACAAATATTGTAATATTCATAATCCAAACACATGTATAAATGTATGCACATATTGAAACAAATATTTTCAGCATATTTAAATATTCAAATTACTAATAGGTGTTATACTTTATTAGTATTACGTTATAAACAATGGTAGTATTCTAATATTAATTTAGTTATGTATTATGTACATGCATCTACTCATTAAACACTACTATAGATATCAGGTATAATGTACCTAGGGAATTCTGTTTTATTTGTATTATTTCCATAAAATATATATAACAGTACACAAACGTGGTGTGTTAGTATTTTTTAAAAAAAAAAGTTATATTCATATGACAACCCTCCCTCGTAATTATGCCACCGCTCAAACAACAATCAATACGGATTTTTATATTCCGGCGTGTTCGAGCCACGGCCTATTTTCCAAAGGTATTGACCATCAACATGGGCGTTTTATTTCATTTAAAATCATGTTTTACTTGCTTACTTCAAAACTAACAGCCCGCTTACGTTATTATCGTTTGCTGACGAAGTATCGGACCACGTAGTGAGGAGCACAGTGTCAGCGACTGTCCGATTTGTCCCCGAAAATTGTCATACGTACCACTCGACTTATCGAGTCTATAATGGATAATATGATTAGATAAAATAGTATTGTTTGAAAATGAAAACTACGTTCATGGTAATAATTATGTTCCGGTAAGCGGTAAAGAGTTTGTCCAAGTAAAAATCCCACTGGAAACGGAAGAGTTGTCGGTAATGGATTCCGAATACGTCGAACTGGTCGGAACCGATCGGAAGAACTTATCCGGTGCGGGTGAACGGCCGAGAAAAACGCGTAACGTGGTAGGTTCACCGGTGCGGGTGGGAAAAACAAAACGTTACAAGTAACGTGTGGGAGTGGTGTGCAAATAATAAAAGTGTGATTCGATGGCCAACGAACAGCTGATATCTTTGACATAATCGGTGGCGCGGCCAAACCGTTCCGCAGGGTTAACGCACCGTGCGTCTTACCCGTTTTTCGGTGTCGAGATTACGCGATGACAGAGACAAACGGGTAAACTATTCGTTCCGCACTCCGCGTCGACGTCTTACTGCCGTCCGTAACGATCCCGCGATGGGATGTATATGCAACACACAGACTGACGATTACCATTTGTACGATTTCCAAAACTACCTATAAGACAGTGACTTTCTAAAAATAAAAAATAATAATTGAAAGTCGAACATTATTTATCTGTACACTTTCCCGCGAACTAAGTGAACGCCCCCAACATTGTCTAAAGCAACACTATGTGACAGTCTAATTGTGCTCTATAATTTAATACTGTAGAGAATGTTATTGCTGTAGATATATTGTCATTATATGAAAATTTTATTGTCATGGTGTGATAACGTCACCTTACATCAAAATTGGATATTACCGTTATAATAGCAGAAATATCAGTCGACGGCTTTCGGGGCTCGATCTTGATATATATAAATATTATAAGATGTTAAAAAATTAACGTATTCTCCGTTATTTAGAGAGCGAATTATTTACTCAGTAACTGTAGTAAAAAACGAGAAAAATGAACTGCATAGATGACGATGTACAATAGTACGATTTAGTTACAAAATGTTGCCGACGGTAAAAAGTGCCGATTTCGAAGGGTAAGAATACGATCGAAAATACTTCTGTACGGTTGCAAAACGATCGTGTATCACGTAGGCAATATGCCTCTAATACGGATTACGACGAGTCGCGAAACGTTTTACATTAATAACGTACTGACACATTTGATAAAACTGTTGCTCGCAGTCTAACAATATAGTTCGCGATTGAAATTACTTCCATGCAAACAAGTAAATATGATTATACGGGCGTAACAACAATACGTGTTCTTTTCCTATTTTATGACTATAATGAACACCATAGATTGATTTTTAAACCGAAGAAAAAAATAATTCACCGACCCAAAAGAGAACTCACTAGTATGCGCACTAGGAAGAAATGAAAATACATTTGTTTTCTTATTGTCGATATACCTACCCGTACTGATGGCCATAACACAATGTAATAAACACTCGCACGACTAGGCCGTTTAAAACCGTATACCCTTAAAAAATCTTGTGCGGGAGAGAGGAATTAAACACTTAAATCTCCTTTCCACTGGTTGCGCTCACGAATGTCGACATGCCGTAGCCATCGTTATTGATCGCGTCGCGTATATTTATCATTAGGGCTGTGAATTTGTAGGAAAGTGCATTATTATTATTTTTTTTTTTTTGGTGATTGTGAAACGCAACTTTGTAAGTATATAATTTGATTTATGTAACTACGAATCCATGTATGCGACTTTAATTTAGCATTTTTTTGCACTTTTTGACGTTTTTAATTTTTTTGATCATTTTTGTACATTTTTATGTCATATTTTCCTTTTTTAGTTCATTTTCTGGTATTTTTAATTAAATTCTAAAGACTAAAAATGAAAGTGAAAAATGAAGTTACCTAAAAATAAATTTATTTAAGTTTGTTTTATTATTTCAACCCAAATAAATACTAATAAAAGAATTATAAAAAATGTTTTAGGTGAATAGCATTGAGTATCGAAAATTCAAATTCAATCAACATTTTTATTATTATTATTTTTTTTTATCAAATAAACATTTTTTATGCACGTAATGTACTAATGTATAATATCCTGTACCTAATATTAATATAAATATAAAAATTAAATTAAAACCATTTTCAATGAATTTTATATTATAATTGTTGACATTTTATATTGCATTTTTTTTGCATTTTAAGTGCATATTTTATTGCATTTTTTATGTTTTAAGTGGATATTTTATTGCATTATTTTGACATTTTCAATGCATTTTTTAAGGTTCATTAGTGCATTAAATTCACAACCCTATTTATCATCGATGGTTTTACGAATGTACGAATGATATATATTGTGTACACACCTAAATTATGCTTTAGCGGCCGTCTTTTGCGGGGCCGGTTGCAACATGGACTTTGTGGCGAACGTCAGTTTCTGCGACACGAGGTGGGCGATCATATTGGACCGTCTCCATACGTACTCCCTAGTCTTGTCGTGGTCGTCTGGGCTCTCGACCTGCAGCTAAAACCATTAAGAATTAACGTTCGGCAAACGTTTCGCCGAGCGTGGCCGAAGTAACACGACGTACAAAGCTCGCGCGCGCCCACCCATGCCTCTCGTGACGAGCGACGCGTGTGGGTTCGGAGGCCGGACGGGAACTGGACCTGAGCGCACTAGTTTCTTCCGATTCTGTTCCGTTATTGCTACGATAAAATATCACGAGTAATCAATCGTACAGTGTAACGATATTGTTCGACTAAATAATGTACTTCACCGTAGCCACGTCATAATGTTACATAATATAACGTATATGTACCGTCAGGGGCGGAACTAGGGGGTGAAAGTCGGGGATTCATCCCCGGGTGTAAAATTTTAGAGGGTGTAATTTTTGTAATTATTAACAACTAATTTGATATTTTTAACTTTGATAAATACTGTGTTGATAAGTTAAAACTCAATAAGTATGATTCTATATCAATAATGGGAAAAATTCTCGAGAAGAGTATGTGATTATTCGTCTATGATAGGGCGTAATTTTAACATTTTCCACGGGCGTAAAAATTCCTAGTCCCACCTCTGCGTAACGTTATGGCGGGGCAAGCGGTCGGTCAAAAGGATTTCAGCACTAGCTTATAATGTAATATTATTAGAGCGAGGAACGATTCCTGGTATTAATTCCATTTTCGAAGAATGAAAAACTATATAAATGGATCCTTAAAGGATTTTTAAAGACTATAGCGGCTATACGTTCCTATAACGTCAATCAACTTTTTATTATTTTCGACGATATGAACGTAAATATCGTATCTAATTCTATTTTCACTCTCGAAAACGTTTTTTTTTTCTTCAAATTTTCAATCAAACAGAAGAGATGCGTTTCAGTTCACAAAATTTACTTAAAGTCAGTATTCATTGTTTAAAAAATATTTCTTTAAGATTAGTTTTATTCTGATTACGATATCTATTGTCTTTGTATTTCCGTTTCAATTCAAACTCAAACCGTATTTAAGGAATTCAATTTAACCATTGGGGAAAAATTAGATTTGGAACACGTTTTCTTTTAAGAACGCGGAAATTAACGTATCATTCGATAAAAAGAACATTAAATAATTATATTTTTATGGTATAAAACTACGGTACGTCGACAGTTATACGACAGAGACTTTTAAAATGGTTATCAAAATCATGGTTATATCGAATTTTACTGCGAAATAGTATTCCGACTTCTTTTTAAAACAGTATAAAACAATGGCATTTAAATTGTTTGCGATCCCGGTTGATTTCCACGAGTTATTTTATCGTATTAACATGTTGCGCGGCAATATATGCTAAATTGTTTTTGTACCATTGAAGTCTCGGTGACTCGGCAAATATTTACCATAATATTATTATGCTGTACGTCCTTATTATTTTTGCACCGTAAAACGCAGTATATCCTACTTGTAGGTCGGATACAGTTACGGAAATAAATGTTCGTCAGACATAGAAACGGAGAAATGATGATTTCGGTCGTTTAGTATTATTTTTGAATAATGGTAAAATCTACCTCTCGGACCAGATTTACCCGGAGGACTTGTGTGTGTGTGTGTAATACGGTTTCGGATGCAAAACAAGAATGCACAACTTTCGGCCTCCCGGTCATCGATGTACATATTGCACATTATGCATAGTAATATATACGGTAACGTTGCCTATGCTTGTGAAAAAAAAAAAAAAATCGTATATTATATTTGCAATAACGTATAAATATACGGACGATTTCGTTCGCACAAAACCTTCGGCCGGCAACCGTATCCTTTCTTAACCCATGAAAATAAATAAATTCCACGATCCGTTCGGAATCTAAAAACACATTCATACATACGCAATACTTATATGTATATAATATTAATGTTCGGGTGCAGTGCGTATAATATGCGAATAACGTTTCCGTCGTATTTACCGGTGCGTATACCATTCTTTCATCGGCGTTCCCGCTCCGGCGGCAGTGCACAATCGGACGTTTGTAACTGTATCGAATGAGATTTGAAAATAATCTGTTACGGAATGTGCACTTGTTCGCGGTAATAAACAGGAATATGAATATTACACGATACGTATGCCGGAGATGTGTTTCCCGAGACGACACATAGCCAATGCCGGATTCAGTCGTACGCTATTATTGCATCCGGGCGAAATATTTGTTGTGGGTAGGGGCGTCACATAAACAAGTAAATCGTGGATAATTACCTACTGCGGGTAAACATTAAGTTAGGATCCGGGCGTAACCTAGGAATCGGAGGGTTCGGACGTTCTGATGTTTTCTAAAGCGTTTTTTTTTTTTTTTTTTTTTTAAACGCACCGAGGATAATAAATCTTTTTCGGCGGATGTCCGCTAGTAGGGTTAGGTTAGGAAACAGACAAACGTCTGATTTCCTCTCCCTTTCGAAGGACTGCGAGGTTCGTACATGCACGCACGATAATGCTGTGTCGTATCAATTAATCGCGTAAGACTCGGACGTAACCGAGTAGCATTCCTGTCCATTCCCGTCCGGCAAACTAGACCCACCACCGATACATTGACATTGTTGCACGACGTGTTAATATAATAATAATAAGGACAATAATAATAATAATTATTATAGTAGTTAATCCGTGTCTGTCGGAAAACATTTTCGTGTACTTGTTTCGGCTGGTGGACTCGGATCGAATGCAGTGTGGCAGCGCCACCGTTCAGCACTCGCATGTTGAGCCGGCCGATCAGCTCTCCGGTGGTGGCAGTCGCCGATCTCAGTTCCTTTTTGGCACCTCGTCCGAACTGCAAAGAAAAAAAAATATGTACTCATAATGAAAACGACCGTAGTAATAATCAAATTTCACAACTATCGTAATGATTGTATAATTTTGTATCGCATGTACGTTTAACGTTTACATTTATAAACGTGTATTGTGTAGAATAATACTTTAAACCGTTTTAATGGATTTTTTGGGCCTTGACATTTTTTCCGCTCAAAAAGATATCATAGAAACGTTTGAAAAGTAAATATTTTTGTAAATTATAAAAATTGAATTTGTTCTCGGGGCGGCTCAATAGAGAAATATCTCCGGGGTCAATTTTCATATAGTGTTTACCTACGTGACCGTATGAGTATGTACTCGTACGGTGTTTGGGATGACAAGCAAATATTTTTAAGCACAATTATGTTTATTTTCGCTAAAAAAATAATACGTCTACTAGAGATATTTCAACGTTCAAATGTCGTACGAAATACGGAAAACGAGATTCTAGTTTATTATTTCTATTTTCTAAATATCTACACTACACTGAATTTGTATAACCTGTTGTATTAACGCTACATATTATCGCAATAATTATCTGTCAATAATTATCATTAATAAGGTTTATTTGAAATGAAAAATTTCCATTTTTTGACATGGAAATCTTATAGTACTGCATAGTTGCTGCACTCTGAACCCATCGATGTAAAACAACTGCAGTACGATTTATTAAATATACTGCACGTACCCTTACCGATCAGGTGGGTTTTCAAACTTATCCCCGGGGTATCTCGCGGTTATTAATCAATACATACAAAATGCATCATATACTTTCAAATATCTAAGCACGGATTTCTAATGGAAATCGCCCTGTATAGTTAACGAACGCGGGTACGGTTTCATCTGCACTCGATCCGTGTCTTTTATCTCGCGATCAATATGCACACGTACGCGAGTTACGGTAATGTATACGAGTCCGGTGGTAAGATTTCAAGAAATATTGTAGAATAATGTAGTGCGAGAGTGTATATTATTGTGTATGTTATATGAATACACTTGTCCAACAGCTCGTTAATGAAAACACACACATCATCTTCATACCGTCACGGTGCGGTGACGGCGTTTAGATTTATGATATCAAGAGTATCAGACCCGAAACGCGTTTTATCCGACGCGCACGTAATTTACATTAAAACAGTTTTTCTGTACAATTTATTTTTTTTCCGCCCTCTCAATATGGTATTATTTTTTCATCCCTTTTAACATGATCGTTTCGGTACACACGGTATAAATCATTATAGCAGTACAGCTTAATAATAATATAATAAAGTGTTTTTATCAAACTTTAAGAAACCAGCAGTTTTAACGTTACTATTATTATTATTACTGATGGTACGAAAAAGCGCAGATCGTATCCCTTATTCGCTTCTCGATTGTATATATATATATATATATATATATATATATATGTGTGTGTGTATATACTGACGTTATATACATATAAGGCATATCCAGTTGTACTGTTTGAACTGTTCAAAGCAATAAAGGCGAAGTATATAAACGATTTGTATTGGATCCTAAATAATATATGACTGAAACTTTTAAACATTAAATCGCACGCTCTGCCATTGGGGTGAAGCTACTATCGCTTGTTGGAATACTGCGCCACTGCGGTTCCAACTGTATAATACGCAATTATGTTTGTGCGCATGTATACGAATAAAATATGAAGACAGTCGAAAAAGTTTTGTGCGTATCTCGAAAGGTTTCGGAGGAACATAAAATATGTACAGGTACACGCGTGTGTATGTAGTGTATTCGTATATTATTATGTCGTATCGGAAAAATAGCCGTGTTGCATTTACAAATGTCCACGTTTACCGCATACGCGCAGTAGCAGCAAAATATGCTTACCAACTCATAGTTTACGTACGACAAATGCTGTACCATTTAGAAATGTAATAAGTAAAATATTACTCTACGCGCTCACGTTGATAAGTTCATGTTTTATTTAAAACTAACTCTACTTGAAATATTGCGTTTTCTGTTTAGAAACTTTAAGCTATTGTTTTTTCCTCCTCTTTTCTCGGGAAGATTGTTTTTTAATATTTCACAAAATTGTCTTAGTTAAAATTATATCATTTCCACAGAAATATATTAAGTTTGAAATAAAAGTACTTAATTTCCAACCGTTTTAGTTTTTATTTTATCAAACTTTTATAAAGTATTAAGTTAGTTTTGAATAAACATAAATTATATTATGATACACTCGGACGAGAAAAAATAAAATGATATACTTCAAATTTTTATATTATTTTAAATAAACCAACAAAACGAATCTTAGAATTATCAAAATATTATAGAATACTACAATGTCAAGAATAGCATTTTTAACATTAGGTAATGAAATTTTTATAAATCAAACGGATCTAATTAACTTATTTATTAACTACTTGTGTTCTATTTATTTTGGTCATTTTTTTTTGAAAAAAAAAAAAGGATAAAAACTGTGTTTTGATGGTCGCACAATTTTTTTCATTCCAACTAATCGACCCACTTAAAATCATTATGTTTTTATTACACTCAAATTAGTAGCAACGTGGACTCACCTTAACTTTGTATGGTGGAATGTATCACGATCAGTTATAATTCCGTGTTTAAACCCTTTTCGATATTTTATATACACGTACGTATTTCACTTTTATTTACGTCACCACCACCATGATATAGTTCACTGATAATTTATATAAATAATGTGAAATAATTTATAATATATTATGCAACGGGTATTTCGTACGAGAATTTAATTTCAACATGAGGTACATGTATCATATAAGTGTATAATAGTGTAAATACGTGTGTGTGTGAGAGAGAGAGAGTGAGTATGAGCGTGACAGTTTTCCTAATACCATATGCGAACACAGGAGGATTAAGATTTCAACCTCTCTCATCGTAATATTAGAAAAATTTTTAGAAAAAATGACCGGGCCTACAAATTGAATATTTAATTCAATTTTTTTCATGATACTTGCAAATAATATATATATATATATATATATATATATGTCATACAACGAGTAATAAAACATAATATTCATAGACATTTTACATTTTTTCAACCCTCCTCCAAACGTTTTCCCGCGTTCGTTTCTGTCGAATACACAAGATTTCACCGTAATACGGTGTATTTAATGATCGTTACTGTTCGAGCGATGCGCGTAATATACTATTACACAAACGATGCAATATGTAATACAATATAGTTGTGAAATAATTTTCGGATAGAGGAAACAATATCCGGTACCTCTTTTTCGACTTTCAACGTGAGTGGTCCGACCAAAAACTTGGTTTTCACCGTCGTGTGGGTGTTCATCACGTTCACGATAACATCTCCGTCACGGCGCAAAGTGCTCAGTCCGTACATCGTGGCTCTGGCTCTAGGCGGACTGGGCTTGGCGGCGGGCTGAAAACGAATTATTATCAACAACAATCGTCGAATGTCCGACGGCAGAATCTAAACCGTCTAAAACGGTTCACGACGTTTGGGATAATTTGGTCATTATAATTATAATTTGTCATATAATTTGATTTGTAGGTATTTTTTTACGGGCCTACACGCAATACGTTTTTCGTTATGTTTACCTTGTTTTTGGTGCCTTTCGCGGGCTTGCTGCTCTGTGCTCTGGACTTCCTGCCGTGCTTGTGGTGCTTGCGTTGCGCCCGGGTTGATGTGCCGTTCGTCGATGTTGATTCTTGTACCGCGGTGACCACACCTGTTGACTTATCCGGTACCGCGGATACCGGAGCACCGGTGTGTTTGGCCGTCGGCGACACGTTTGTCGGTTGGACGCTTGAAAAATAAAAATATCATCAATCTCGTATTAAGACATAGGTTTATCATTACGTTCACGCGCGCGTTCAGTTGAAACACTGGAAAATGAAATTGCATTGTTTATATAAATATAATTAAATAAAATATCGACGGTGTATGTACGTTAAAAGATCACAGCGTTTTCCGTTCAGTCGAATGGGAGCGAACAATGAAAATAAACGAATAGTAATAACAGCGAAACTCCATCAAACGGACGAAGAGAGAAGTATTGTACGTTTTGGGTGACGCAGAGAGTTCCGCTTGAATTACTGAGTCCTTGGTCTGGCTAAATTGATATTGCACTTTTGTTTTTGATGAAAATCATATTGCCTACAAGCTGTTCAATGGGTGAAACTAAATTGTCTAGTAAAACACTAATAAACCTCCACGCGGGCGGACTTTTGCCTTTTCTTCGCCAACACTATTTATACGCTCAAAATTCACGCTGGCGCTGCTCTATGGTAAATATTTTACTCGAGACGATATGTGGTATGCAGTTTCGATATTGTTTGTGACGCTTAAACCTAAGAAGAAATATAAAAAAATAAGGAATAATTATAAAAAGTGTTTAAAATCTGTAAACCGTGTTCTCCACGCGTCAACCGCCACCATTCGTTATGCACGCACGTCCTAAAATATCGCAGGGCTGGGTTTTGTTGGGAACACATCGTTTTGGATACATTAAGATTGAACATTTACGAGCACAACGTTGTGCTACACGTATTACAAAAGTGTTTGGGGGCAACAGGTGGAAATATAATATTATACACATTTCTCCGCGGAGCAATAAATACTATTCATGATAAAATTAATCCCTAGGGAGCAGGTAACTGGAAAATATAAAGTCTAAACGTAATAGTTATGCGAAAAAACGATTTTTCATTTCGTATAACACAGATAAAAAAAAAAAAACATATTTGTTTTTATCTTTTTCACTTATTAATACTTTTTTAATTATTACCAAGTAATGAATTAAAAATGTTTACGATACTTTGTTTTACGTTTTTTTACGATCAGTCCACGTAAAATCGATTGAACGAAATCTAAAATTACGCATTTCAAGAAACAAAACATGCATAATTTTGAACGATTTCAGAGAAAGGTAATCAAGTTTATCACGTGTATTTATGGTTTATTTTTTTGTAAATTCAATGATCATAGCGAGCAATTTTGTATTACAAATGTTTCATGTTCGTTTGAAAATGATGATAAATGTATTGAAAAAAAATTATATAAATAAAATGTGAAAGTAATCATTCAACATTAATTAATTTGGAACGCTATTTGCGAACACAATAACGAATGGTAAAAAAATAATTAAAATTTATCGTAAAGCATTCAAATTTATATTGGATAATATAATCGTGTAACATTACTATCAATATTATTGAATATTTCTTTTGATTCACGTAATCAGTCTTGGCGAATAAGACCTAATCTTAATGCTCGTATTTAAGTATTAAACGATAGTATCCATCGATGATCTAAATGTGTATCTGAAAATGTTGTAATGTTTACGTGTTTTATATGCATTACAACTGTGCACATTGTTGTTTTTTGAACAGATGTAAAACGTTCATGACGAATTTGTTATCATGTCTCGACTGTACAACTATTGTGAGCAGTAATTGGTTTTCTTAAACGTTTGTGCACTTTAAAGCACACACTTAAATCCTCAAAAACATTACAATGTCGTATCAAATCGAATTTGATACGCGCGTTTTAAAAACTACTGTTGGTCTTAATGTTGCTATAAAGCAAATTTATACGAACACGTGCCGCCGTCATAGCACAAAATACGACTGTAAAATACCTGAAATGAAAATTCGAATGTAATCGTTAGAAGCCACAGACATAAAATGCATACATGATAAGCACAGTGAGAGTGAGAGAGGAAGAAAGATTCATTAAACATATTTGCCATATTGTGTGACGAGACAATAGAATTTCTGTTACAAAACCATAAAATGTGTGGTGACAATTTCTGGAAAATTACTTTGTAATTATAGCATGCCTGAAATGTTGGCATAATGGTCTGAAGTATAGGTAAACTTAAGAGAAGGCTGTCGTGCCACGTATCCGCATTCCAAAGAGTACATCTTGGTATAGCCAATCAAAGTTCGATTTTAATCATAAAAATGTTGAGTATGACGTATTAAACTGGTAAGTGGTCAAGTATTAGATTAGCATTTTATACCTGTCTTTGAAACTTTTTATAATATTATTGGTCATATATTATTTTAGCACTAATATATTATATTATAAAGAATTATTAAGCTTATTAAGAATTTTGGTTACAGTAATAATTCGTCTCAATAAGGTTTTACACACACACACACACACACATATATATATATATGCATATTTTGTTTGAAGAATTTCTACAAAAATATTTATTTAAAAAAAAAATACTTTATGTTTTAAAATTATGTAAGTAAAAGTGAATGGCTACGGCTGTTTACTGAATTTGTGCAGCGTATTGGATCAGTACTATCTATTTATATTATTTTCTGTCTCCAAATGCTTTAGTACATCCGTATTTTGATGTCAATCATATTTGAATAACGAGTAAGAAATGATTTAAAAGCCCGTCCGTAATATTTATGACAGGCGCGACCATTAAAAATAGAAAGTTATAATGTATGTGCATGAACACGCTAAGATGGAAAGTTTTTATTTGATTTTTATGGAAAGTTGACATATAACGTATGAGCGATATTTTATTAGCTTTTACATCTCCGGTCAAATTTCGCGTTTCCAACTAAAATACGCTAACAACTATATTTACTTGCACGATGATATTAAAACTAGTCTGGATAATTTCACTCGACTAAATCCGTGATCATTCGACGTACACCGCAAATACTAATAACGCGTTATCGCTATCGATAATCATTGTTCTGATACTCCGAGATAAATATCAAATTTAATACGGATTATAATATTAGTATAATATGCAATCAGTGCGGCAAATTTTATCCAGTAACATAATTTGCTATATAATAGGATACTAAGGTCAAATGAGATTTAACATGACCTAGGGGTGAAAATAAAATCGAATCGTTGTGAAGACAACAACAATATATCAATATGCAGCAGAGAGTTAATGACATTGAAAACTTATGCTATAACATTACAATACTGTGCGGGTACCTAAAACACAGCTGGGGTCATGATATTATATGCGATGAAAGTGTAATGCAATAATGTGTTACCTCTCTCTGGACTCGATTTTGTTCTTCTTCTTGGGTTTTTGCGTGGTACCCTTCTTCTTGTTGTCCGTAGGCGTAGGCGTTTGCAGGCGAACGTTGACCGGATCGTAGTTCTTCCTCAGTATCTTGTTGATACGGCCAAGTATATTGTCCACGAACCTGTTGTACTTGGTGATGTACGACGGCGGCAAGGTGACCGGGTTATTGTTGTTCATCGCACCTAAAGTACCGAATGATTAGTAAGAAGTAGGGCCGTTCAGAGGGTGTGGTAATGGGATAATTTTGATCCAAGCCCCATTGTTAAAAAAATTGTTTAGGGATTTCCCATAAAGTCTTGAAGTACAATAATTAATAATAAAGCCTTGATTATACCGAGCAATTTTACACGCTGCGTGTCGGCGATTAAAGTGGCGCGCGTGTGAGCATGTAGTGACTTGTCCGATTACATTAAGCGATTAAATTATAAATAATAGGAATAATATTCAATCCTATTATATAAGTATGTAATGCAGTACATAAATTTAAATGAGCTTGATTGGTTAAGGTTAGGAAAAACATGTTTACAAGAATTTTGTTATTCTCAGTGAGTATTTTGTTTATTATATCTTATTATTATTGCCGAAGGGCCCCCAAATTAATTAATTAAATAAGCCCCGAAAAACCTTGCGACGGCCCTGATTAGAAGCCCTCCGTTCCATTTAATGTAATATAGTGTGTTGGTCGCGCCACGCACAGCGCCCAGACCATCGTCTGATATCGTTTTTGCCGTTTATGTGTCACAACAAAAGAAAAAACAAATGGTCACAGAGTAGCGGGAATTTGAAATCTCATTTCAACTGAGAGATCACAGTCGGTACACTTATTATCTAAATATTTTAGCATCGAATTCGTATCGTGTTTATACTGGTTATGATTCCTGCAAGCTAGCGGGGCACCGCGAAAGTCGACTACTCGAAAAACACTTTAGACCTCTACCGCTGTGTATACTATAGCAGGGGTGGCGAATTTATGGCACACGTACCAAAGATGCACCTTGACCAAATTTTAATAGCACGTGCAAAAAGTTGAAATTATTAAAAATTTTCCACAAAAAAAAAAAAATGAAAAGAAAAAAGTATACTTTTAATAAAATGTTGGTTATAAGAAATTAAAAAAAAAACCAAATTTCGAGTATATGTAATTTTAAAACGACAATATTCCTTATACTTTCATATTTTTCGTCAACTTATGTTCGTGAAAGCTTATTCGCCATAATGAATTAAATTAAATCGAAGGAAAGAAATGTTTTGACCGATGAAGCAATTGCTGCTTGTGTTTTACTAAGAATTACTAAAATTTAACAAAAATAATGTAATAAATCTGTAATTTATTTTTATTCTTAGAAAATATAATTTTCTTGGAGCAAATAATTTGTATGTAATCGATTCGGCGCGATGCCCTGAGATCTGTTTTTTTTCTCTTTCATTTTGGTAAGAAATAATCATCGTTTTGCCCATACGTTCACTGCCGTCATTGCCGTAATAACATCTCGACGACGAAATACGCGTGGTACACCCCGCTTGGTGCTTATTATTACCATATCATTATAACCCGGTAAATGTGAAAACGTTTCGCGCCCACCAGTAAGAAATATATATTAGTTGAGTACAAAATATTTGAAAAGATTGCAGACGGGTTCACACAGGAAAAAAGTTAAAGTTTTCGAACATTTTAAATACTCTATAATCTGCATTTGTGACATTTTCAGGTACGATTAAAATATTTTGGCATATCAATCTGGTATTGAAACATGATTTTGTTGTTAACGAAACACACATTTTTTTTTTCATTTTTCACACTTATTGGTGCTTTTGTATATACAAACAACACACTTTAGAACTAGATTTGGATTGACTGATTTGCTTATTCGTTCTGACCTACTCCATACGCACTCCAAGCGATTCTAAACATTACATAATTATCTGGATAACAGTATATAATTTTGGCAGTTGAGTTACCTATTAGTTTCTAAGTTAATTTACAGACATTACAAGATGCTGATGGTTTTCGTTCATGTGGAATAAAACTACCTTGTAAATCCCTTGAAATATGTCGAGAGAGTATATTGTTTTCTAAAATACATATATTTCAGTTATAAGATATAAATGTTTAAAAAAATGTCAAAACCTATTTAGAACATTTTTTTTTGTTGGTTTTGAGTCGCATTCGATGTAAAAACGGTTTCAAATAAAATCGATGAAGCTAGCCATAAATGTAGTCGTTATTGTTACTGTAAAATTTCTTATGTGATCGGTGTATTAATTTAATTCGATGTAACTATACATCTAAGTGTATGTATTGGTAGTACGAGGATTCGTAATTCGTATGGGATTTGTTGATCCTCGCGAGACAACTCTGCTTAATGGAATATACCCTACAGCCAGAAATTCACGGTCCACAGGTGTTAATCATGAACCGCTACCTCCGCCGTTGCTACAGTTTCCTATCTTTGGATAACACACGTTTACGAACGAAAAATAAATGCCTTCTGTACACAAGCACACACAAACACAAACGCAAATAGATATTATTCGCACGTTGTACATCGTAGTAGTTTTTTTTATCCCATTTATGAGGGAGGATGGACACCAGAAGGTGAACCGAAATGTTTGTGAAACGTGTAAACATTTGAGCATCGATGTTTAATTGATCGAACTTCTAAATACAATCACATGGCCGATATTCGACCAGAAAATGTTCGAACATCACGAATACCAACGTAAATTAATTATTTCGTCCGTAACATTGTGCAATGCGTTTGAAGAATATCGGTGTATTTCGATAACGATTTTTTTTTCCAAAAAACTTTCGGAAACGTGCACGATTAATGCCTTAAGTTGTATAGATCAGGAGACAAATTACCATACATATAATTATTGGTGATGGATATAAGTGTCGCAACCAAGATTTATTTTAAGGGGAGGGGGTTATACATTTGAAAATCCACCATGTTGTGTCACTGGTGGAGATAATATACTCAACACGATAGTAGTGGCATTATAACAATGTCTACTTGGTCAGAAACGAATAACAAAGTGTGTATGTCGGCGTATATCATAATTATATTAGCTATTTAAAGACGTTGTAAAATAATAACTTACGCGGAGAGTGGATAAAATATGTTCCGCTCGTTATAGTTATTCAAACAAATACCTTCATAATTTTTTTGAATAAATTATAAAATCACTATTTTAATTAAAAATGTTTGCACCGATGTATTGTTCAAATTAATTGCGCTCTTAAGTTTGGAGCAATTGAACGTTTTAACTGTTTAAGTTTGCATTTTTATCTATTTCTTATATACATGATAATTTTGAAATATTATACAATACTCGAAGCAATGTATGCTCTAAATACAGTGAATATGATCAAGGTTATAAATTATTCAAATACAATTTAAATTTGCATTATCATATCTATTAATATGTTCTCGATTTTCAAACGGTTGAACGGAATAAAATGTTATCGAAATAATCATCTAAATAAAACTGTGTTCCAATGTACCGTACGGAAGTTTTTTTAATCTTTGCAATATTCAAGAATATATGCACTAGGTACCTAAGATCTTCAAAAAATAAAATTTGTATGTCTGTATCCGTACATTAATTGCACATGGCAGGTATTAATAGTATAAAACAAAGCAAATCAAATGGTTTATTCGTATGCTTAGTCACGGTAGACGTTTTTCAGCGTAATTCATATTACATGTATCGGCTGAGCGAAGTTTGATATCAAGAAAAAAATTCGATAAGATATTTTGATCTAAGTGTTAATTTTTTGTGGTTTTAATCGTATTTATTCGTACGTGTTCGAAAGCAATGATCGAAAAAATGACGAAAAATAAACTTCATGTAAAATATAACAAACAAATTAAAAATCATAAACATTTGTGAGTTATTCGTGTTCTAAACCTTAAACGTTATTAAAATAATACAACACTATCGAATTTTCAGTATTACCCGGCTTCAAATTAAGTATTGAAATAGTATTGAAGTCTCGGCAAAATATTAAGTTACGTAGGGTATCAAAAAAAAAAAAAAAAATGTAAAATATGTTTGCCGGGCTAAGTCAACATCATAATATATACTTCTGAATATTTTTGATTTGAATTACTGACAATAATCAAAAAAGTACGTGTCTAGAGTACCGTGATTCGTATCGGGTTTTCAGTTTAAAAAGTTGCGAGGTGAAAATATTAAGAAAAAAAAAACATTATCAACCGTACTCGCCTAGTCTTGCGGAGTTTCTAAAAGTGTACCTACAAATATATTACGAGACATTATAATTCTAATAAGAATGACAACGGTAAAAGCGTGCTCGAAGGGCAACGGGTAGATCAGTCCGTTTGTTTATGACGCGCGTGCCTTTGTGTCAGAGCCGGTATCCGTTTCACACTCAGTGGGCAAACGTTTAATACGTTGGCCCGTCGAGAAAAGATTAATAACGTCCAGCAAAGTTAAATATTTCGTCCTCTGCACGTAGACACGTCACAGTAAACATTAACCGGACGGCAGACACTGGTGACGTTGCCCACCGTACACCAAGTATACGGTAGGTGTCATGTACTTTTAATATTACAATATTATCATGTTTTCAACTGCAGCGGCTCTCGCGGGATTATTTGATCCGACAAAACTTTGGAGATCGTTCACGAAAATCGCATTGACTGGGTTTTGTCGCGAATCACTATTTCGTTACCGTTGTCGTTTTTCAGTGATTGAATGACAGCCGTATGATAAAGGTAGAAATCCCATACAACAATACGTAATTAGATACTTGATGAATGCAATTCTTGGTACGGTGAATAAATTTTAAGCGAGGACACGTATAATGTATTGATTGATTTTGCAAAAAAATTTGTTTCACTATTTTTACGATCAGTTTTTCGCATTTAAAAATATCTGCATCACAAGTCACCGTGTATCCTGCTATAGTGTTTCGTCAGATCAGAAACTAGAAATAGTTGAATCTTTAAAAATATAGTTTTTAAACTTTTCTAGCGGAATTTTTAATATTAACGAAAAAGTAATAAAACATTTTGTTTCCTTTCGTTTAGCAAGTGCTTTTACTTGTTTATCTGTTATACCGACAAAAAATTCATCAGAAGCGATTCTTACGAAGATGGGCATTTCACTTTTCCATTTTCTTCGACTTTCCGAGTTTTATTTAAAAAAAAATATA